GATATACGGAAGAAAACAAAAGGTTGAAGGCTCAGATTGCCAGGCTCACGGGGAAGCGCCAGCGTACAGAGTGATCTCCATCAGTTCTATTTCTCAGGGTTTCAGATTTTATTTTCATCTTGTACTTGGGATCATTGAAACTTGTAATCCATTTTGAAGTTATTATAATAAAAATTTTCAGTATTTCAAATGCGTTATTACTTTGATGTTTGCAATATGTCTATAAATCTATAAATCCATTGAAATATTAAATAACAAAGTAAAAATAATCATGTGCATTGCATATCATGCATCATATTGCACATATTTCTTGCATTTGTTATGCATATCCAGGTGTCTTACCAAGCTTCTTTACTTCGTTCAACAAGCTGACTCACCACTACAACACTCGAGCTAGTTTGAGAAAGAAGATGGACAACTTAGAACAAGAGAATCGCGAGCTGCGCGAGGAAGTTTCTGCTTTGAAGGCCGGCATGGCCAATCTGACTACTCTAATGAAGCTCTGGTGGCTGCTCAGAATCAGCCACCAAGTGTTCAACCTCAACCAACAAGGGCAACTACTGAAGCTTCGAATGTTCCCGTATCTGTTACTCCAGATGTTGTTCAGAATCGCATGCCTCAAGGTTATCCATGGGGAATGCCAAAGAATTTTGCACCTGAAGGTTTCAATCTTGGTCCTCAAGATACTTCAGTTGTTCAGACTATTCTGCACCTCCTGTGATGCATGTTCCTGTTGCACCTCCTTCGGTAAATATGGTTATGTTTGTTAATGATGATGCGTGTCGTCCTTTCCCTCCACTGAGTGAAGACTTGGGTCTTTATGACAAAATGGATGATTTTCAAGAGCAGTTTGACAAAATGAAAAGAGAGATGAAGGCCCTCAGGGGAAAAGAGCTATTTGGGCAGAATGTGAATGAGCTATGTTTGGTCCCGAATGTTAAGATACCTGCTAAGTTTAAGGTCCCGGAGTTTGAGAAGTATAAGGGAAACACTTGCCCTCGTGCTCATCTGGTAATGTACGTGAGGAGAATGTCTACCCATACTGATGATCAGCGTCTGCTGATTCACTTTTTTCAGGATAATTTGACCGGTGCTGCACTGAAGTGGTATATGAGTTTGGACAGCGTCAATATCCATACTTTTAATGATTTGGGAGAAGCATTCATCAAACAATACAAGTACAACATGGACATGGCGCCTGACCGTGATCAACTCAGGGCCATGGTTCAGAAAGACAGGGAATCATTCAAAGAATATGCGCTGAAATGGCGTTCCAAGAAAGTTTGTGGTTATCGGTTGGCAAATAATAAATGATTCAATGTGATATATAGTTCACATAATCATGATTTATGTGCAAAATTAGTCGATCATCCAATTGCATGTCGACTCTAGCCAGAAGAGAAGGAACGTGTTTTCGACATGACATTGAATTTGATACCTCCCAAAAACATACTTGCAACCTTGAAGCGCAAAAGACCCGAGAATATCTCAAATATCAAGCAAGTGTACAATAGGCGCTATTAATCCAAATTAGCACTTAGTGGGATCGAACTGAAATTCAACACCTCTTGAAACTTCTATATGATAGCAATCACGTTTCTAGGCACCGGAGATGTGAGGACGGAGTAACAGTAAAAGATTGTGTTGGACTCATCCTGATTTTATTAAATTGTTCAATAAGTTTCTCACTGTGCTTATAATTGATTCAACGTAAAAGACCAACAAATACAGACTTCCGTTGTTGGAAATTATTGGTGTTGCATCGATTGAGAAGACGTATTATGTTATTTTTCATTTCAAGAATGCAAAAAAGATAACAATTATGCATGGATTTTAGAGGTTTGTCGGTCAATGTTGAAGGACGAAGAAGATATGCTGAAAGTCATTGTTATCGACCGAGATACCGCATTAATGAATTTGGTTGCAATGGTATTTCCCATATTATGCATTACTTTGTAGGTACCACATTACTAAGAATGTTAGAAGTCGGTATAAACCCTCGGTAAGGACAAAACAGATAGCAGGTGAAGATGAAAAACTGGTCAAGGTAGACGTTGTTGTGGAGAAAATTATGGATGCATAGAATATTATAATAAATGTATCTACAAAAGAGCTATATGTTGATGTTGTTATACATTTCAGGAGGGTGTGTGTGAAATATTCTGATTTACTGAAATATGTTGAAAGCACAATTTTGGACCAGATAAAGGAGAAGATTGTTTATGCTTAGACCGATCAGGTTATGCACCTTAAAAATACAACAACAAACCGATTTGAGTCTGCTCGTGTTTGTCTGAAGAATTGGTTGAGAAATAGCAAGGGTGATTTGTGTGCGGATTAGAAATTTGTGAATCAAATGATACTAAACCAACATAATGAGATACAAACATCATTTGATCGTAGTATCTTAGTGTTAGAACACAGGTTCAAAGACAACACTCTATATTCTCAGTTGGTCAACAACATATCTCGATCAACTCTAAATTATATTTTTCACGAAGCCAAACGAGCTTCTAATGTAGGTTCCGATAGTTCAAAGTGTGGTTGCACACTTGTGAAAACATATGGTCTCCCATGTACTTGTGTCATATTTAAGAAAATGAAACTTGATTGCCTGATACGAATGGACGAGGTCTGCAGTCATTGGAAGAGGCTCAGTTTTGAAGATGGCGGTATTATGAAAGACGGTAAATCGAATATCTCCATCTTGACTAAATGGGAAGCGATACAAGAAAGATTTTTGAAATTCGATGACAACACAAAACTCCACATCAAAGAGAAATTGAGAAAGATTACATTCCCGGAGACCATTGACTTGAAACCACCCTCTCAACGGATAAAAATGAAAGGAGCATCTAAGAAGGCGAAACCTACATCGGGTGACAATTCAACAACGAGGAGTCCATCATATTTTAAACACATTGACAAACTTTTTCTGATTCACCGACTCTGAAATCTCATAAAAGTGTTTTCAAATGAACCTGCATTAGCAAACCACCTCCTACACCGCCTCCACCAAAAATACCATTCATCGAGGAGATGTCGATTTTTATGCACAATTACATTGAACAGGTCGTCAGTGTTAGGAGTGACGATAACTGTGGTTTTCGAGTTATTTCTGGTATGCTCGTTAAATGGGAAGAGGATCACCAACTAGTCCGCGATACTCTTATTAGATAGTTGAAAAGCAATAGAGAATTATACACACGAGAGCTTTTAGATAAAGAGAAAGTTGAAGAAATTTATCACGCTCTTGTATCTTGCATCAGTGGACACGCACCAAAGGAAAAATGGATGTGCTTTCCTGAAATGAGTCATCTCATAGAAAGTGTGTATGAGAGAGTGTGTATTAATCTTACAAGATACAGTTTCTCGGAACTTTTTTTCAACTGCGCACTGCTCCACCACTAAATTTCAATGATCGTATCATCTATGTTGGGTGAATTTTAAATCCATGACATTTTCTTCAAGTGTATTTGAAACCGAGATGTCTTATACCACTTACATCACCTGAGTGGGCGAATCAATATACAATTCAATCTGAGACTTAGTCTGACCAATTTATTGAAAGGATGCAAGAGTACACCAAATTGAACAATATTGAAATAGGAAAAAAAAAAGTCAGAGGGGTACCATCTATAGATTTGGTAGGCGATAATTATTTCGGATCATTTAAGTAGTTATTTATTATTTTATTGTATATGACATTTTGTCAATGTATTATGCTTTGAAATATAAGCATTTTATAATTTGTCCAAAAATATCAGCATTCAATACAATTAGTTGCTTTTATTTCTGTTATGTTTCTGTTTCTATTTTTTAATATCGGAGATGTTTCCAGAGATGCATCTCTAAAAAAATAAAGATGTTTATGGATTTACATCTCTGGTACATTCTTTGTCAGTAGATAGGGTTTGTGTGGTACATAAGAGCACTTGTCATATTATTTCATATCAAAACACACACAAAAAAAAAAACAGAATGAACACCATTTGACATGTTGAAAATGTTCACTTTATCAGTAGTACATCATCCCGAGAATTTAAGATCAACGAGTACACCCCTCTTGAAGATCTACAATACATATTGCAAGAGCTCCTACCACATGATGACAATCAAAAAATTATGAAGATCAAATACCGATCGCCGTTTGTTGACAAAGAGGGAAGCTTGAGTCCAACAACTATGAGCTGAAGATTACCACTAATTTAAAGGATATGTGGAGAACCTTGTTCCATTTAAAATCAAAAGTTCTGATCGAGCTAGATGCGACTATTTTGAGATTGATCATTATCAAAATGTTTCAACATCCACATAGATGTTAAAGTGCAATGTTTGGTCTATGTTAAAATCTATTGTGTATTGCTTATTTTATGATATCAATGGTATTTTAATTTTGTGAAGTTGATGTATTTCAATGTTGTTTTTCTGCATTTTGTAAGGCATTATTACGGAAATATACTGCCGGTTTGATACCGAAAATGTAACTCCATTCATATTCACAATAAAGCTCTCTTTTCCTCTGTTGTATTACTGCATTCTGGGTTTTGGTTCTGCATTCTGAAGCATTTAAAGTTTTCTAATAATTTACTTAGTTGGCCAAAGTTCGTGACTATTAAGATATACAAAGACTTAATGCATAACTAGTGTCTATGTAACTAAGATAACTTGATATGACAGTTTTCATAATCAATATGACTTGATATATCAAGGTACATAGAAACAAGGTCTTCGTAACCAAGATGAATTGATATATCACAACCTATAGGACTGAGGTCTTCATAACCAATATGACTTCATGTATCAGAAGTCAATAACATGCAACACAAAGAACAACAAGATTACACCAGGAATATTGATGACACTTCTCTCAAAATGGGATATATCACTAAAATTCCATCTCATAAACCTTTAATTCACCCCAACCTGCTGTTTATATGTAAATAGAGTCTAATGCAGAAACAGAAGCAAAAGCATTCCCATCAACTGAAAGCATCAAATTATGATCCTACAAATTTGTTCAAGGCTGATGTGTCTAAACCTGCAAACTCTTTTACAGCTGCAAGCACAACAAGTCCAAGCTTCACAGCATCTTCGTTATTACGTGCCTAACGCGTCACGTATGTTCATCATAAATTAGTTGCAATGTTCAAAATCGCATATAAAAATTCCAACACAAGATGTTAAGGCATTTTACCTCAATGTTAAGGGGAAGTACAGGATCATGAAGTGATAGTCTAAGAAGGAACCACCCACCATAGCCAGAAACTCGGATCTGATTGAAGATTAGAACAGACAAGATATAATAACTTATAATTGAAATACAAACTCCGCATACCAATCATTGCAGATTAGAAATTTGTACACATCATATTGTTAGTAAGTTAAACAAGCATAAAACGTAAAGATATAAGCATACCCCTTCATAGTTTACAGGAGCCTTTTGCAGGTTTGGATCAGAGCCAATTGAGCTCTCCAAATGTTTCAGCACAGTTTCTCCGTATTCCTGGAAAGATCTGAAAGATTTGGTATGTCAGTGAATTCAAAACATTGACCTGGATGCACACTAACAAAGAACCGCTATACACATACTTACCCTCCTTTAAGATCTGGATGGTTTTGGTTTATCTTTAATCTCAGTTCTGCAGCAAAACCTGGTTCCTGGAGCCCTTCGATTAGACCAATCAAAACTTTGCTTCCTCCACCCACACCAGAAGCTCTAGCAGAAGCAAGCTTATTTAAGATCTTGACCTGCACAATATGGGTAATTCTAACTTCTAATAATTAAAACAAGTTTTTGACCTTATGATCTAATTCTTTGATTCTACAGTCTTGAGCAATATTGCATTCTAATACAAGGTAGTGTCAATTTAAGGGTTACTCGGGGCAAAGTAGAGGTGTGTATATGCTTTGTCCATGTTCAAAACTTACTCAATATGACTACAATAAAAACCTACCATTAGGTATGCACCATCATCAAGCCAATTATTCTCCTTAAGAGCTCCATGTCCACTAGTTTCAATAGCCAGATGTGATTCCTCGCCAATAGAGTTCTGTCAGCAACATTGCCTCCATAATTAAATATTTTGCAAATGTAGTGAAAACTAGAAATTCAAATGTTAAAAAATTATAAACAGAAACAAGATGAAAAGTACATAATATAAGCTAGAGACCTGTTTGGTTAGAGAAAACCCTTTCAATTTTCATTTCCTATTTTTATTTTGTTACAAAAATGCTACATTGTTTTTTTACTTTGTTTACTGCATTCAAACATTTTGTTCAGGAAATAGTGAAAACAACAGTTGTACTTTAATTACTAAAGTAAAAAAAAGAAAATGGAAAGATAAAACATTTTTTGAAACCTAATAAGCCCAAAGTATCAGAACTTGTCCTAATTCTATTTTGTAAAGGACGAGTTTCTATCAATTTGCTTCTGTTTTGTCATTTATGAGTTCTAATACAATGTCCCATTTGGAATAAAGTTAGCCAAAATCCCAAGGTTCAAATTTGAAATAATGGTACATTCAATTACTCAGACGGAAGGTTTTCCTTTAAACAGAAGTATAATTCATTGTGTTATAGGAAAACACGCATCATACCAAACGTATAGCTTCATCAATCACGTTTTTATAGCCTCTTTTGAACCGATGGTGTTTGCCACCTGAGAAAAAATAGTATTAGCAAATAATTAAAGCTTATCATAAACTCATTAAGGGAGGAGGAGGGATAGACTAAAGGCCGTGTCAACTTAAATTTGTCCATACCAAGTTTCTTTTCAATAAATGCAGTAAGGCCGTCAGAAGTCACGCTGTCTGTGACAATAGTTGTTCCGGGATGCTAAACAAAACGATGGAAGGAAACAGATTAAGTATAAAGAGAAGTGTAAGGTTACAAAAATAGTACCTATAATAAAAACCTTACTTCTTCTAGAACAATAGATGCCATTAAGGCAATCAAGCGATTCCGGTTGAACTCACGGCCAGTGGAATCCACAGCAGCAGATCTAGATGAAAGTCATTGATGTTTTAACAATTCAAAGTGATTGATTTTTAACAAATTCAAAGTCAGAGAAACCAATCAATAAGATGGTCCTTGCCTGTCCACATCAGTATCAAAGATAATTCCAAGATCAGCTTTGTTATCAAGGACTGCCTGGGTTATAGCTTTCATTGCTGTCTTGTCCTCGGGATTGGGGATGTGGTTCGGAAACAAACCTGAAAACAGAACCCATTATTACTCAAGTCCAAAAACAACACCTAGCTGAAATTATTCCCGCATTAAAGTTATTACCATCGGGCTCCAAAAATTGACTACCAGAAGTTATTGCCCCAAGAGGTTCCAGCACATTTGCCTATTATTATACACCAAAAAGTAAACACTGAATATCAAGCTTGATGCAAGTTGTAAACAATTCCCAATAAATATATTCACTATAGCTTTCTGTTCATCATTTTCAAATGGCGGGCGTGTTTTAATATTCGCACTACTGCAGATTAGTAAAACACATGTTTTGTAACTTCTGTTTAACAGAAAATAAAACATTTATAATATTAACTACAAATTTCGTACAAGGTATTGCACCATAATAAAAACACAAAAATCAATATTTAAAAGTGAATTTTTACTAGACTTATAATTATGATATGATTATCTGTAATTAAGTGGAATAAAAGATTTGCCAACAATTATAAATTTCAATTTTTTCACAAACAAAAACCAGTAAGATTTGATTCTATTGGTATACTGATACACCCTTTTTATAAAAGTTCCAAATAAAAATGTCTTCTACAAGAAGCTTATTCATAGAACATTAAAAACTAAGGAAATTTAAAAAGCAACTTACAGCAAAAAAACCACCTGCTCCATTGCCTGCATCAACAACTATATGGAAACCCTCCAATGGTTTCTCTGCGGGCAGATAATGCAATAAAAAAAGGGAAAAAGATCAAAGCCATCAGAAAACCGATGACTAAAGAGCTTTAAATTCTACAATAACAAACTGAGTCATAAAGACAAAATGTCCTTCAATTAAGAATTCCATTATTCTTCCACTTTATTTATAGAACAGCCCAGTAATTCCATCTCCAAACAAACATATTGATTATTATAAAAATACTCTAGCAAATGGGTTCAACCTTTTCCTGAACCACACCATAGCTTAAGCATAAACCACCAAGTTACCCCTTTACTTTAGCAAAGCCATACCTATGTTTCCAGCTGCTTTGCGAACTGCTTTTACTAAATCAGATGTATACACAGACATGTAATCAACTGTCTTGATAGATAATGAAGCCTTTTTCTCAGAATTGGTCAAACTTTCTGCAGTAAATTGATTGTATAATTTTTCAGCCCGCTCTAAGATATCTTTGATGTCAGTCTTCCCAAGACCACCAGCATTGGTGAAAAATTTGAATCCATTTCTGTTGAAAGGTAGATGACTTGCTGTTCATAGAAAGAGACATTTAATAATTAAAACATGAATTCATGTCTAAAATGACTTGTCCATAAAAAGATATAAATATCATCCAAAGCAAATTGAATTTGAAGTTCACTAAAAATCACCATTAACAACAATAACAAATGAAAATTTATCAATATACGCAAAAAAAAAAAAAATGCAATATTAAAATGGCCAAGAGTGAAAACCATTCATGTTAACAGTCTAAGCTTTTGGTATAAATTGTTCCTTATTGTATCGAAGCTTATGTGTCGGTGGTTTTTGTAAGCTTCCTATACTGAAGACATTCTCCACAGTTCATTATTACATCTTCAGTAATATGGAAGCTGTGCTATGTCCAAATCTCCACATACAATTTAAAAAGGGGTTTTCATAGAAGGAAATGTCCAGAGACACTAGCTAAACTCTCTTGGATGAAAGTAAGTCAATACTATAAGGGAATGTCACTTGACTACAACTTCATACTGTACCTGTTATCATAATAGACCCATCAACAGGACAAAGAAATGCTTCATCCTTTGTAAGTGTGCTGTTGAACATCGCTGGTGTCGATGCTAATCTACAAAGAAAACAATAGCAGTAATTCACTAGACCATTAAAATAGTTAGAACAACAGCAGCAGCAATAATGATAATAGCTACAAAAGTGAAAATCATCAAATGTGAATCACAATTATCAAAACGGAAATACGGGAGTAGTATGTTGAATCCCTTGAACTTATTGAATGGACATGTATTGAAACACCCTAATAGATTTTGATACTGTCACGTAAAAGTGATAAAGTGAATGGCCGTGTAGGAATCTGCTTGACCATGTGACTGCCTGCCTACATTAGAGTTTGCAACAACTGACACTTCCCATTCTAGTTCAAATAAAAGAATATAAATTAAATATTGGTTGCAAAAAGTAAATGCCACCCACCCATATTGGACAACTTCTAAGCCAGCACCAGCAAGCCCTCGAGAAATCGCATTCTGAAATTGGAAGAATTGATCATCATATAGTACAATTTTAAAATATAAAATATCAACCTATTAATACATTTACATGCTTTCAAACTAGGAAGCTTGCTAACTCAAGTACTTTTGGTAACAATACTTTCAATTCACTTCAAAATTCAAACTACAAAACCATTGCAAAATCAACTTTAAAAGATAAATATTCTGCATGATGAAAGTCTACATAGATGCAAGTGAGAACAACAGTATAAATGGAATAGGTTTTCAAATTATTATAGTTCATATCATCTTTCATGTATCGGAAAATATGTATTTATTTGAGACACTGGAATTTTATTCAAAACCAATATAAAATTTGACAAGATCGATGAAGTCCGTTATATTATAAAGGTTGTTAAAATGTAACCAATGATACGAGGAACAATCTAGACCTGTAGGGATTTGGCTGATATCCTGGAATCGTGGCCAATTGAAACTCTCAAAAGCTGAGAAGCATCTGCTTTCTTTTTCTCCACTAACCATGCAGCGAAAGCAGCTCCTATTGCTTCAGCAACGGGTTCAGTGAGGTTAACCCCATCTCCCTCAACACCATCTAGAGCCACACCACGTATGTCACTATTTAAATTAATATCATTTAAAAGTAATACACAAGTTAGCATGCAGGAATGAAGACCTAATAAATATCAATTATGTAAATAAAAAGGAAGAGAAAATGGGCCTTTGCACCCAGAAGCTTCCCCAAAATTCCCTATCCATGACAGAGCCGTCATTACCAGGGAAAAGCAAAAGATTATAGTGTTTTCAAACATCAATCACAAAACGCGGAAAATAACGGTTTATTCAAATTTCAATGAGCTGCAAGCTACAGCATTATAGTGCTCTACTATACCTGCTATTTGACAGTACTTACTAAATAGCGTAGCGAGTAGCAATAGCGATTTTTTCAAATTATGGTATGCTATAACCCCGCTAGAAGAGGTTGATGAAACTTCTATTAAGACGAAAATTGGCAATGATATGGTTGGTACTGACCTGCCATTTTGAAGCTTTAGAAAGTCTGTTTTGTCAAGATGTGGCACCACGGTAGAAGACGCAGAAGCTGCAAAAATGAAATCCAAATGGAAGAAACAAACATCCATTAAAAAACAAAGAAGTTAAAAACTGTCGAAAGGTAAAACATTAGCAAGTATGCATATAAAAAGCTTGGGAAGGACAATGCAGAGAATACATAAGAGTTTTTCATTTCACTTTATTTCAACCTGTATGATAATAAGAGTCTAGAACAGACCATTGCAGAGAATATTTCTCCGGAAAGTAAAAGCGTTCAGGGGTTTCGATAACGTGCGCAATTGCATGGAAGAGATGCTAGTCCATGTCAACTTCCCTGGAGGAGAGGGAAGGAAGGTGCGCGTATAAGGGGCACAATAGTCCCTTCGACTATTCGGTTGGCAGCAGTGTTGTGACATAAAAACATTTTGAACAATCTTCCCTGATGTTGCTGCAAATAAACATTTACACTTTTATCAGATTTCTAGACTCAAATTTAAATCTATCACTCTCTCTAATATTGCCAACTACTCAATCTTCCATCATCCATATCTCTCAATTTTTTGTCCTTGTGCTTCAAAAGTTCTAAACTGCAGCTAAAAGGCTAAACCCCCAATTCAATAGGGGGGTGATTGCATCAATTTCAGTGAAATTGTAGTATGAAATAGAAGCGAAGAGTACAAATACATTGAAATAACGAAGGGAAAGCTGAAAATTGAATTGTTGAATTGGATGAAAAATGGAAAGAGAGAGAGAGAGAGAATTGAATGAAATGGGAAATGGGGGAAACTTTACCTGCCATGTGATGAAATTGAGTTGCAGAGTTGTTGAATTGGTACGACGGAGAAAGTGAGGTAGTGGATGGTGGATGCGCCTAAGTTCTTCTGTCACCTTCCACACCAAATCAACAATATAGTAACACAAGTAACAAGTAACAACCCCTTGCACGTGTAGGAAGAAAGACAAGGACGAGAATAATAAAGTATGCTTATTTTTTGTTTTATTTTTTTATTTTAAATATTTATTTTATTATCTTTTATCAAATTTATTTATTTTTTAAGTTTCGTAAAACATTTGTTTTATGGATAAAATTATAATCCTAGAATATACTTTCTTCCATGCTAGAAACATATTGTTAACAGTGACCCTTGAAGTGACGGTGTATGTCGCTTCGGTGTGGTGGCAATTGTGAATCTACGATGTTAGTATTCTAATATTAAAGTTAGTTTTGAGATAATCGAAATTAGAGTAAAATTAAAAATGATAAATCATATTTGTCTTGGTGTGAGAAGGAGTATTTATAGGAAGATTTGGATGGAGTTTTGGGAAATGAGTCTTGGTTCACTCCTCAACAATTGCCCACGGGTTTGTCATACCGTGAGGCGTGGGAAGTCTTCAAAATCGAATGAGTATGTTGGGACATGAGAAGTCTTCTAATACATTAAATTTAAAAAAAAATTAAGTTTTACATTGTTAGAATATTTTTTTAATTGGTAAAAATTATTTAGTCTCATATTACTGATGTGAGAAATATTAATTTGTTTATTTCAATATATAAGGAGTACACATGTTTCATTTTAAAATACACCAAAAATTATTTTATTAGTTTTCCTTCTTCACTCTCATAACTCTGCGTCTCTCGAGCCGTCTTCTTCCCCTTTCTTCTTATTCGTTAAATTTTCCGAGTATTTTCTTGAATTCTCTTTAGAGAATTATGTTAATTTCTTCTCATTTGAGTTGAGAAATTTTCAAGTAATTTTTTGGATTCTCTTTTGAGAATTATTTGAATTTCTCTTTGTTGGAGAAATTATTATGAGTGGTTAAATGACCATTATTAAATTCTCTTTGGAGAATTATTTGAATTTCTCTTGGTTTGAGAAATTATTTCGACTAGTCTTTGTACCAGATACTACGAGTCGATTATCTACCATGCAAGTAGTAATTGTACAATATAGAACGGGGTTGTTTTATCTTGGAGGCGGCGCGGTAGTTCGACTGCTTTGCATAATTTTGAGCAGTGTCGCGAAACGTCTTAAAGAGAGCGACCTAGTCTGCGACCCAGCCTGGTCATTTCTTCGGTGGCAAATATTTCAAAATCTGAAAACAACAATTTTAAGACGTTTCAAACTGCCATGGCTATCGAAGAAATTATTGATACTTTTGTAGATATTGTCTTTGAGAAATCGTTCATGTTTGAGGGAAGTCACTTCAAACGGTGACAACAAAAGATGAAGTTCTTAACATTGAAAAAAGTTGCTAACGTTCTGATCGATGACACTTTGTTGCTCCTTCTGCATTAATCGAACAAACTAACGGTAGTAAATCTGGAGATTTAGAAGGAACACTTAATAGTGTTGAAGTTGAATCTACTACACAGATTAAAGCGAACGATTTACGGCATAGGAAAGAAATTACCTTATAGAAAGAGAATGAAAATCTCTACAAAATCATATTTTGAATAGACTCACAGATAATCTGTATGATAACTACAGTTGATGTGATACTGCAAAACAAGATTGAGAGACTCAGAAAAAGAAGTATGACGTAGAAGCTGGAGCAAAGAAGTATGTTGTTAGCCGCTACCTCAAGTATCAAATGCAAAGATGTAAGGTCGATGGAGGCTCAATGTTACGAACTTCAAAAAATTGCTTAAAAGATCATCACAAAAGGTATGTGTTTAAATGAACAATTTCAAATTGGTTTTATTATTGACAAATACCCCATAGTTTGAATGTTTTATAAAAAAAAACTTTGCTTCGCCAGAAAACAAAAGAATTTTTTATTGAGAATCTGATTATTCGCCTTGAGTTTAAAAAAAGGAATCTAAGAGACAATATCAAAAAGAAAAAGTCTTGGTTGTTTCAAACAACAAAAAGAAATTTCGTGTAGTTCTGAATCCATTTGTAAAATGATTAAAGAATCAAAACTGCAATATTGTGAATCGAATTAAGAATGGGAACCCTTCTATGATCCCAATAGCTCCAACTAGGAAACAATCACCACTTAAAAGAAATGACGTTGGTTTCCCTTTGTTTTAACTACGGAAAATCAAGTCATATGACTAAGAAATGTAGAAGTAAGCTTGAACTTGGTGTTGTCACTAATGCACAGGTCAACCTGACTAATGGGCAATTTATTATTGTAGTCATTGAAATCAACATGGTTGATGGATATGTTGGTTGGTGGATAGACACTTGCGTCTCTCATTGTGTCTGTTATGGTCGTGATATATTTAAAACATATACGAATACTAAAGATAAGAAAGTGTTATTGGAAAATGGCCAGACCACGAATGTTGCTGGAATTGTAGACATGGAGCTAAATTTCACCTTCAAAAAGACTTTAATCTTAAAGAACATTATGCATGTTCCTAAGATTAGAAGGAATATTATTTCTGGTTTTCTTTTAAATAAGACAGGATTTAGTCAGTCTATTGGGGTAGAGTTATACGCCATTACGAAGAATGAAGTTTATATGTTTAAAATTTTTGTAAAGAATTTGAAAATGATATAATAAGAATTTATAGTGATAGAGAAATTGTATGATTCTAGTTTATTAATGAATTTTATACATGGAATTGTACATGAAATAACTGCACCATATACTATCTTGCAATGAATGATAAAGCAGAAAGAAAGAATAGAACTCTTATTGAACTTATTGTTGCAATTATGATGAATTCTGGTGCTGCACATCACTGGTGGAGGGAAATTTTATTGACTGTTTGCTATGTCCTGAATAGAGTCCCCAAGTCAAAATGTAAGATCTCTCCTTATGAGATATTAAAGAAAAGACAACCAAACTTGTCTTATTTGAGAACTTGGGGTTGTCTCGCTTATGTCAGAATTCCGGATCCGAAACGAGTTAAACTCATTAGTAAAGAATATGAATGTGTATTCATTGGGTATGCAACAAACAGTAAAGCATATATGTTTTATGACTTAAAGGCAAAAGTGATCATATAATCAAATGATGATGAATTCTATGAAGACAAATTTCCTTTCAAATTGAGAAATAGTGGGGGCACACAATTGAGTCAGATTCATGTGATAAGAAGCACAGAAAGCAACGACGATGTAGAAACAGAACTTCGACAAAGTAAACGAGTAAGAGTTGCTAAAGACTATGGGCCTGATTATGCGGCTTATAATGTAGAAGAAGATCCAATGAATCTTCAAGAATCCTTGTCATCTCTGGATGTTGATTTATGGCAAGAAGCTATCAATGATGAGATAGAATCTCTAGAATCTAACAAGACCTGGCACTTAGTATACTTGCCTCCTAGTTGCAAACCAATCGATTGTAAATGGGTTTTGAAAAAGAAACTAAAACCTGATGGAACTATTGATAAATACAAGGCTCTCCTTGTTGCCAAGGGTTTTAGACAAAGAGAAAACATAGATTTCTTTGACACCTTTTCTCCTGTCACTAAAATTACATCCATTTGGGTACTTATTTCAATAGCTGCTATTTATAACTTAATAGTACACCAAATGGATGTTAAAACAGCTTTTTTAAATTGTGACTTAGAAGAAGAAATCTATATGGAACAACCGGAAGGGTTTGTGATCCATGGACAAGAAAACAAGGTCTGTAAGTTAGATAAGTCTTTGTATGGGCTAAAACAAGCTCCAAAGCAATGGCATGTAAAGTTTGATAACTTAATGATATCGAATGGGTACAAAGTGAATTAAAGTGACAAATATGTTTATTACAAATTTGATAATTGCATTTGCACTATCATATGTCTATATGTAGACGATCTACTCATATTTGGATCAAACATTCAGGCCATTAATGATATGAAATTATTGTTGCGCAACAACTTTGATATGAAAGACCTCAGAGAAGCGAGTGTGATTCTTGGTATTAAGATCACGAGATCCGAGCAAGGAATTTCTTTGGACCAATCACAATATGTGAAAAAGGTCTTAAAGAAATATAATTGCTTTGACAATAAACCTGTGAGCACACCAAATGATCCAAGAGTGAAGCTGTTTAAGAACACTGGTGAAAGTGTTAGACAAACAGAATATGCGAGCATTATTAGAAGTCTTAGGTATTCCATTGATTGTACTAAACACAATGTTTCATATGTCATGGGATTGTTGTGCGGGTTTACTAGTAGACCGAGTAATGAACATTAAGAAGCTATTGAGCGAGTCATACGGTACCTTAAGAGGACCATGAATATCGGTTTACATTATCAGAGATTTCCTGTTGTACTTGAAGGATACAATGATGCAGATGGGAATACCTTATCAGATGATTCCAAAGCAACTAGTGGCTATGTATTCATCATAGTTAGAGGAGTTGTATCTTGGAAATCAAAGAAACATATTATCCTGAGAATATAGCATTAGCAACTGCTAGTGAAGAAGCAAATTGGTTAAGATGCTTTCTAACTGAGATTCCCTTATGGGGAAAACATATGTCAGTTGTGTTGATCCACTGTGATAGTACCGTGACTATTGCAAAAATCGAGAACCGTTATTATAATGGTAAAAGACATCAAATTAGAAGAAATCACAACACTGTTAGAGATTGTATCTCTAAAGGAGCTATAAGAGTGGATCATGTACGCACTGATGAAAATTTAGCATATCCTTTGACAAAAGGATTAGCTAGAGAGAAATTCTATAATACATTATATAAGATAGGACTAATTCCTATAGGAAAATGAGTTGCTTATGATGGTAACCCGCCCTAAATGACTGGAGATCCCAAGAAATAGGTTCAATGGGTAATAACAAGTTGTGAGTAATATGAGATAATCATGCAAGTAAAGCATGAATCTTGAAG